ACCAACAATCGTGAAGATGGCACAGGTGCAGGCAATATTTATACATGGGATCTCCACGAGGTGGTGCCGACTCCATGGCAACGAACGACAACACTTTATAGCAGCAAACTGTTTTCCCAAACATCGCTTGAGGTTTCACTCGCCATGGTGGAAATGAGATTAGTAAAGTGAGGAACTGTCATAAGTAAGGAGCCCCGGTGGCGCAGTGGTTAAGAGCTCGGCTGCTAACCAAAAGGTCTGCAGTTCAAGTCCACCAGCTGCTCCTTGGAAACCCTCTGGGGCAGTTCTACCCTGTCCTATAGGGTCGCTAGGAGTCAGAATCGACTTGACAGCGTAAGTAAAACAGATAGGAGGTTAACTGCACTGGCCTCTTCAACTAGTCTCTGGCTTCCGTCCTTGCCCCTTCTCAGTCTGTGCTCAAAACGGCAGCTAGAGAGAGTGGATTAAAATACAACCAGAGCTGGTGGCTGCTCTGCTCAAAGTCTCCTAAGGGTTTCCCATCTCGCGGCCAAAGTCAAAGTCCTTTCAAGGGTTACAAGACCCCTTTACTCTGCCTCCTCCTAGCCCCCATCTCATATACCCTGCTCTCCCCTCTCTCATCCACTCCTTGCTGTTTCTCAAACAAGCCGGCATGCTCCTACCTCGGGCTTTCCCCTTGCCGGCCCCTCTGCCTGGAACACTCTTTCCCCAGATGTCTATGTGGCTTGTTCCTCCACTTCTTTTCAGTCTGGCATCAACTGTCACCTTCTCAGCACGTCCTTCCCTGCCTCCCTATTGAAACTGCAACTCCCACCCTTCCTAGCCCTCTCTCCTGCTTTATATCACTCCCGAGCACTTAGCACCATGTGACATACTCCCTATTGTATCTTCCTCGTTTACTCTACTTACTGTCTACCTCTCTTCTCATGAATACGTGTCCCACAAGGACAAGAATTTTTGTCGTTAGGGTCACTGCTGTGTGCCCTGGGTTTACAGCACTCCCTGGCACACAATAGGTGCCAATACATATTTGTGGAATGAATGAGTGACTGAATGAACAATTTAAGTGTTGGCTACTGCAGGTGTATTTGCAGGATGAGGAGTCCCTGGGTGGTGTAGGGCTTTGCAGGGTTTAACAGAAATCAGCAAAGACTGTGCCTAACTCTTCAATCTCCAGATAAGAATTTAATAAATGCTTAGCTCTTAGCATCTGGAGAACCCTCTGGAGCACAGTTCTGCTCGGACATACATGGGATCGCCATGTGTCAGAATCAACTCGATGGCAACTGGTCTTGTTGTTTGGTTTCGTCCATGCAAAGAATTAACTCTCATACCTAATAAACCAAATCAAAAACCAGCAACACTGCTATTGAGTTGATCGTGACTCCAAGTGTTACAGTGTAGAGCAGAACTGCTCCATAGGGTTTTCTTGGCAGTAACGAATTGACAGCAACTAATGACAACAACAGTCTTTATGGAAACAGATCACCAGGCCCTTCTTCTGCAGCACTGCTGGGTGGGTTCGAACTGTCAACCTTTCGGTTAGTGATCGAGTGCAAATCACTTAAAGATGACTTCTAATTGCATTTCCCCTCACTTGCTATGTCTTCAAGAATCAAAGGCTTTAAGCTGGCTCATAAACATCTGCGTTCCTCATTTCAGTAACCAACTATTTCCAAGTGTCAGGCCCGCTGAATTAGCAGGGAACAAACATTGCAGTGGCTGGAATCAGAAGATGACATTTTGTCAGGACAACTCATACATTTAATGGTTTCTTCTTCTTTTAGGCCCGCATGCTGAATGGTTTAGGACATGGGCTGCGTGTGCCCTCTTTGTGATTTTTCTGAATTAAGGCAGTCATAAAAGCCAACGCTTAATAGCATGACCTATAAGACTTACGAGCCAACTCACTGCTCACTGTCACTCCTTTAAGTCTCCTGGAATTTCACTTCTGGCTAATTAATTGTTACTAATTAATTAACTGGAGTCCCTGGGTGGTGAAAACAGTTAACGCATTTGGCTGCTAACCCAAAAGTTGGCAGTTTAAGTCCACCCAAAGGTGCCTCAGAAGAAAGGCCTGGCTATCTGCTTCCAAACAATCAGTCATTTCCACCCCAGCCCACTGCTCTGAAGAAAGACGAAAGGAAGAGGACTCCTGGAAGGGGCTGTTGACGGCGGGCATGTTGGAGGTGGTCTTAGTTTGAAACCCCCAGACCAGGAGCAGGTGGGGACTGACATGAGCTGCCTCTGTCTGGAGGAGCAAATGACCGGGAAGACTTCAGCCGGGCACTTACTGCCCAGTACATTCACGATTTCTAAACAGTGTTTTTTCTTTCTGGAGACAAGGCATTTGCTCAAAATGAGAAAAGTACCTGCATCAAGCTTCTGGGGCTCATCCGCATTAAAACTGGAGCAAAGCACCGATCTGACACCCAAGGCTACGTGTGCAAAATGGGGAAGGTAATCCCTGCTGACCCTGAAGATGTATTTGTGTAACTGGTTCCAAAGGCTGGGGAACAACCTCTCAAAATCTTTCCCACACCAGTCTCTAGTGATCGGTACACGGAACACTGGTGTGCAACGCTTGGTTAGCAAGGGAGTATCTCCAGAGAACCCCAGGGCGAAAAAGGCACGATTATTCCACTTCCACGGGGAATTCGGGTGGGGGAGCCACAAGCCCAGGGTTATCCTCAATGTCCTTAAGGGATTTAACAATTAATTCTGCCCTCTTACCACTGCGAATGGAGCCCTGGGGGCGCAGCAGTTAAGCCTTCAGCTGGTAACCAAAAGGTGGGCAGTTCAAATCCATAGCTAGCTCCTTGGAAACCCTATGGGGGCAGTTCTACTCTGTCCTGTAGGATTGCTATGAGTCAGAATCGATTTGACGGCAACAAGTTTGGTTCTTTTTTTGGGGGGGGGGGTTACCACTGGGAAATCAAGGCTATCTCTTCTATTTGGCTGAAGGAAAATCAAAACGCTGTCTCTGTGGGGTCAGTGTGGGGCAGGACTGACCCTTCATACAAACACCCAGAGGCACTTCGCCCTCCTTGGGGGAAACAGAGTTAAGCAGTCAGGACTTGCTTCTCTCTTCCCTCCTTTCCTTCCAGGAGGAGCTAGGCAATTCCAGGGTGTTATTTATTTACCACCAACCTGACTTTCCTTGGGAGAAGGTTCTGGAGTATGACGTCGATGTCTGATCCTGAGGATTCCATTAACTTTCAAAGGCTTTTTTTTAGGGAAGGGGGTGCTGGGAGGGGGAAGAGGCAACACCAAATATTCTGAGCTTGGGAAGCAGGAGCTGGAAAGGAAGGCAGGAGAGATCAGGCAGGCCTGTCCTCCACCTGCCCTTCCCACAAACCCAGCTCCTATTTCCAAAGGGATAGGTGGGGACCGCAAGGAGTCTAAGTTCAGAGAAGGTGCAGCAGCCCTCACCTGCTAGGTGTCCCCACCTGTGTGAACTTCAAGAGGAAGGCAGGATGGCTTCCAACCTCAAACAAGCGCACCTTAGAACCCAGCTGCAGAAACAGAGAACCCTGCAGAAATTGAGAATCTAAGAATGATTTAACGCGTACATCTGAACAATGGTTCTGACAGTGGTGTCACGAGGGTTGGGGTCACCCAGTGCGGTAACTCATGGTGTCAACCCCCCGTGGACCTCCTCTTGTATCAGACCATACAGAATCCTTAGCAATGTTTTTTGTACTAATGTTACTCGTAAAGCATAATTCCCATATATCACTCCCTCTTTTCCTTTAATTACTACTTCATTCTCAAAAAAGTTATTGACATAGGTTCACAAATACTAATTACCACAATATTGTGGCTAAAACGCCACAGAATTTGACAAAATCAGCAACAGCAACGAAAATAACAGCGTGTGCCTGTAGCGCGTGCAGACGAAACCACATGATTGGAAGCGTCATTGTAATTGGGTAACAATAACAGCTCTGACCAGGGTGCATGAGAAGGTCCAAAAAGTAAATTAGCATAGAGTTTTAGCCTTGCAGGTGTATAGATACATGTAAGCTGGGCTTGCGATAAATGCTTTTGTTGTTATAGCTAACTACAGGGATATTTTCACAGACATTTTGGCGTCACCCCCCCACTGGTGAAGCCACTGGGTTCCGACAAGCACCTAGTCCAGTAACCCCTCGGGAGTGAATCACCTAAATACACCCTGGTTTAAAAACAAGCCAAGATGACTTAAGATTTATTTTCAATAGAAAAACAATGGGGAGAGCAAGCAGGCTCAGGAGGAGGAGAGCTATCTCAGCAGAGGACCAGGGTGGAAAGGGTGGATCTGACTTCTCTCGGGCTCATTCCCATGCCCTCCGCGGGCACTCGCTGCTCACCCCTGAATTCAGACACGACTCTGGCTGGCTTTCGGCGCCCCTGTGCGCGCTGAGGGCGCCTGTGCGTGGGAAGGAACCTTCCCAGGCACTGCCCAGGGTAAGCCCTGGCAACTTCCCTACCCTGCCTCTCCTAGCCCGGCCACCCGTGCGCCCAAGGTCCAACGGAGCCTCTGCCAGCCCAACCGAGGCCGACGATCCACATTCAATCTCTGTGGCGCCTCGGGGTTCAGGGAAAAAAAGGGGAGAGATAGGGTTTTAAAAAATCAAACCACGTCTGCTTCCAGACGGGAAGGAGGAGAACTACTTGCTTTCCATTCCCCCTTCCAAGCTCCCTTGATCATTTTGGGTAGAGGAGCTCGCGGAGCCCCCTAACGGGAGTCCCCGAGGAGCTTTGTTCTGCACGCGCAGAGATCCCCGCTCTGGGGAGAAGCCCCCGCGTGGGGTCAAAGCCAAGGCCGCGGGGGAGCCGAGGGTCCTGGCGCCGCAAGCGCCAGCGCCGTGACCACTCCGTGCCCACCCTGGTGCGCGCACACCCCGGGCCCAGCCTGGTGCGCGTCCATCTTCGTGCCCATTCTCGTGCCCACCCTAGTGCGCGCCCACCCTCATGTGCACGCGGCCTGGGCGCAGGGCGCGCGTGAGGGCGCGCGGCGCCCACCCGCCAGCACTCACCTAGCACCACTGCGGCCACGGTGGCCAGCAGCAGCCAGTTGTTCTTGACAAAGCGCCTGAAGTCGCAGCCCTTCTTTGCAGGCTTCCCCATGGCGGGTGCCTGGCTCGGAGCCGCCGCCGTGGCTACTGTACGCGGGACTCGGCTAGGCGCGGAGGCCGGGGCCCAGAACCGTGGCGGCTCCGCGGCGCGCTGGGGAGAGGGTGCGTGCTGGCTGCTGCCGCTGTCACCGCCGCCGCCTGGGACCGCGCCTCGCCTGCAGCTGGCGAGCCCGTGTCGCCTCGGCTGCTGTGCGTGGGGGCGGCCGGCTCCTCCCGCTGCCGCCGCGCTAAGCGCTCGACCAACCAGCGAGCGGCGAGGAGCGGCGGCGGGAGGCGGGTCGGGGTGCGCCCTGGGGCGCCCGGGTCCGAGGGGGATCGACTGGGAGGGCCCCAGCGTTGCGACGAGGACTGGGGTGGCCTCTCGGGGACCCTGCGCCCCGCCCGGCCTTCCGCTGAGGTCTCACTCCCTTCCTTCCACGCCCCCCTCTCTTGCTAGGTTTTCGGATTAAAGGTTTCCTTCTGTCCTTAAACCTGAGGCGGTTGCCGCCGGCCCCCCTGGATTTGGATTTCATCCTGCACCCCTACCCCCATACACACACATCAACTTTTCCCAAATGCCAACACTGGTGCCACTGGTTGGGAGAGGCTTTGAGGCGGGGAAACCGAGTTCTGCTCTGGGTACCCCTTACTCCTCACGAAGTCTGAAGCCTCAGTGAGGAGGAAAAGAAGGAGTGCTGGGTGCAGATCCGGATTTGGTGACCCTTCCCACGGGCGTCTAGTCTCATCCCCGACCCTCACAGGTATTATTAACCCTCTTTTTACAAGTCAAGGAAGGTGAGGCTCCAGCTGGATTTTTCTGGGGTTCCAGAGCGAGTAAGTGCGTTGTGTATGTGTTCCTATGCATCGGGTGCCGTCGAGTGGGTGCCGATTCATAGCGACCGTGTGTACAACAGAAGGAAACGCTGCGTGTTCCTCACAATCTTTGCTGACTTTGTTTCCAACTCTGTATATAGCCGTCTCTCATGGGACATCTTCCAACTTCGCTTCTGCTCCCTGGGACCTGCTTTGTGGCCCTTTGGCAAAGTAATGAGGATTGAGAACCAGAGCAGGTGTTCTGGAGAGAAGATGGCCGGCCCTTCCCTAAGGCCAAATGCCTTGGTAAGGCAAATACAGGAGAGCTGGAGGAACTAGGTTAGTGGTGCCAGAAAGACTCAGCACTGCTAACTGAATTTTCTCATTCTCCTCCTCCGTGCTTCTACCCAGTTTTTTTCACCCTCACATATACAAACTCTTCCCTTCTTTTACCACATCACCGCACCGGCAGCTCTAAGCTGTCTTCTGATTTGTTTTCCTAAAGTTAAATGAGCCCTACACCTTTGAATAAGATAATGTGTGTAAAAGGCTTAGAACAGTGCCTCATACACAGGCACTGTGTATTAGCTGTACTTGGAGTTAACCTGGGCAAGCACCTTCTGACTCCCTCTCTCGTCACCTGGTGGGGTGAACACACCCTGAACCACTTCAGACCCACAAGAACCCTTGCAGATTGATCAACAGCAATTGATATTTTCATACCTACAGCCCATATGGTGCATACTCGTTTTGTGCTCATTTAGGTTATGCAAATTTTAAATCGTGCAATATAAAAAGATGAACGAAGTCTAAATATACACACACATTTTGAAATAATGAAAATCTCCGAGATTAAAAAAAAAAAAAGTCAAGAATCACAGAAGTTCAAATCTGGTGAGCCAAGCGAACAGTAAGCTGTGTTTCTGCTATTGTTGTTAGGTGCCCTCAAGTAGATTCCAACTCATGGTGATCCATGTATAACAGAACGAAATGTTGCTTGGTCCTGTGTCATCCTCAAAGTAGTAGGTATATTTGAGCCCATTGTTGCAGCCACTGTGTTAATCCATCTCGTTGAGGAGCTTCCTCTTTTTTGCTGACCCTCTACTTTACCAAGTATGATGCCCTTCTCCAGGGACTAGTCCCTCCTGATAACATGTCCAAAAGTATGTGAGACAAAGTCTTGCCATCCTCGTCTGTCAATTTGTTGTCGTGTGGTGGCTTGTGTGTCCCTATGATCAAGGTGAATTAACCAGTAAGCAGGGTACGCGCTGGTTAGTAAGCAAGGTACACAGGAGCTTACTTACGCTTACTTACTAATCTGTAGTGCACAGTTTCACATGGGTTTCGCCACATCTTTGATGTGGTGAAAAAGAAGTGAAACTACACCACACATTAGTAAGTAAGCACAAGTAAGTCCGTGTGTACCTTACTTATGGGGTCATCCATCCCTGGCTATGATGCTGGAAGCTATGCCACCAGTACTTCAAATATCAGCAGGGTCACCCACGGTGGACAGATTTCAGTGGAGCTTCTAGCCTAAGATGACTAGGAAGAAGGATCTGGCGATCTACTTCCCAAGAAAAAAAAAAAAAAAACAACCAAACAACAACACACTTAGTCAATGAAAACCTTATGAACAACAGCAGAACTTGTCTGATATAGTCCTGGAAGATGAACCCTCAAGTTGGAAGACACTTGATACGATTGGAGAACAGCTGCCTCCTCATAGTAGAGTCAACCTTGATGTGAATGGAGTAAAGCTGTCAGGACTTTCATTTGCTGATGTGACATGACTTGAAATGAGAAGAAATAGCTGAAAACATCCATTGGTAATTGGAACCTAGAATGTGTGAAGTACGACTCAAGGCACAGTTCCAGTTTAGCTGGTAGTAAAAAAAAAAAGAATAAATAAGCAAATATATATAAAGCACTTACCATGAGCTTGTCGCCCTTCTAAGTACTTTGTTGTTGTTTTTATTGTTGTTGGGTGCCATTGAATCCATTCCAACTCATAGCGACCCTATGTACAATAGAATGAAACACTGCCTGGTCCTGTGCCATCCTCCCAATTGTTGTTGTGCTTGAGCCCATTGTTGCAGCCACTGTGTCAGTCCATCTTGTTGAGGGTCTTCCTCTTTTTCGCTGGTCCTTTACTTTACCAAGCATGATGTCCTTCTCCAGGGACTGGTCCCTCCTGATAACATGTCCAAAGTATGTGAGATGTAGTCTTGCCATCCTTGCTTCTAAGGAATATTCTGGTTGTACTTCTTTCAAGACAGATTTGTTCGTTCTTTTGGCAGTCCATGGTATATTCAGTATTCTTCACCAACACCACAATTCAAAGGCGTCAATTCTTCTTCGGTCTTCCTTATTCATTGTCCAGCTTTTGCATGCGTATGAGGCGATTGAAAACATCATGGCTTGGGTTTACCTTAGTCTTCAAGGTGACATCTTTGCTTTTGAACACTTTAAAGAGGTCTTTTACAGCAGATTTGCCTAATGCAATGCATCTTTTGATTTCTTGACTGCTGCTTCCATGGGTGTTGATTGTGGATCCAAGTAAAATGAAATCCTTGACACCTTCAATCTCTTCTCCATTGATCAGGATGTTGCTTATTGGTCCAGTTGTGAGGATTTTTGTTTTCTTTATGTTGAGGTGTAATCTATACTGAAGGCTGTGGTCTTTGATCTTCATCAGTAAATGCTTCAAGTACTCTTCACTTTCAGCAAGCAAGGTTGTGTCATCTGCATAATGCAGGTTGTTAATGAGTCTTCCTCCAATCCTGATGCCCCGTTCTTCTTCATAGAGTCCAGCTTCTTGGATTATTTGCTCAGCATACAGATTGAATAGGTATGGTGAAAGGATACAACCCTGATGCACACCTTTCCTGACTTTAAGCCACGAAGTATCCCCTTGTTCTGTTCAAACGACGCCTCTTGGTCTATGTACAGGTTGTACATGAGCACAATTAAGTGTTCTGGAATTCCCATTCTTTGCAATGTTATCTGTAATTTATTATGATCCACACAGGCTAACGCCTTTTGCATAGTCAGTAAAACACTGGTAAACACCCCGCACACACCTGTCACGTCTAAGCACTTTATACACATTAATTCATTTGGTCTTTGCAACAACTCAGTGGGGTAGGTACTATTGTTACATCTTGGGGCTGCTGGAAGAATGAAATAAAGTAATGTGTGTTATCATGATCATCCTCATTGTACAACTGAGGAAACTGAGGCAAAAAATGGTCAAGTAACTTGTCTAAGAAACCTCATAAGTACGAGGAGGATCAAGGATTTGAACCTCGATGGTCTGACTCTGGAGTTTGTATATTTAACCACCACCTCATTTATGAGGAACAAATACAGAATTGGTATGAGAAAATTACTCGAGTTATGTGAATTTAAATTTATGCAACATCAGGCTAGCAGTAATCCAAAAAACACAAAATAATAAATGCTGGAGAAGTTGTGGAGAGACTGGAACACTTATACACTATTGGTGGGCACGTAAAATGGTACAACCACTTTGGAAATTGATTTGTCGCTTCCTTAAAAAGCTAGAAATAGAAGTACCATACGATCCAGCAATCCCCTTCCTTGGAATATATCCTAGAGAAATGAGAGCCGTTACACAAATAGATATATTGCAGCACTGTTCATGATAGCAAAAAGATGGAAACAACCTAGGTGCCCGTCAACGGACGAATGGTTAAACAAACTATGGTATATCCACACAGTGGAATACTACGCAACGATGAAGAACAACGACGAAGCCTTGAAACATCTTATAACATGGAGGAATCTGGAGGGCATTATGCTGAGTGAATTTAGTCAGTCACAGAAGGACAAATATTGTATAAGACCACTATTATGAGAACTCAAGAAAAGCTTTTAATACAAAAGAAAACATTCTTTGATGGTTATGAGGGTGGGGAGGGAGGGGAGTGTTATTCACTAACTAGACAGTAGACAAGAATTATCTTAGGTAAAGGAAAGGACAGCACACACTACAGGGGAAGTCAGCACAAATGGACTAAACCAAAGCTAAGAAGTTTCCTGAATACAAACACTTCAACGGACAGAATAGCAGGGGCGGGGTTCTGGAGACCATGGTTTCAGGGGACATTCTCTAGGTCAATTGGCATAACAAAGTTTATTAAGAAAATGTTCTGCATCCTACTTTGGTGAGTGGCG